AGGCATCAACTTTCTTTACCGCCATAGGTCCTAAAAAGTGCTTTGATACCACTTTGATAGGAAGTGGATGCAATTTCCTCGAAATCAGTAGACGACAATAAGAAATTTAGAAGAAAATACACCAAAACTATTTTTATTATAAATATATGAAAGAAAAGAGCAAGAACAATTGGATCTTCAATTGGAGAGAAAGATTTGGCTCTCCCAAATCCCTAGCCATTGGCTAGAGCTCAAATAACCTAAGAATAAACTAAATTCAGCAAACTCTCAAAACTTAATCTAAAATCACCCTATTGTTAGCATTAAATAGGCTCCCAAATTCTCTCTCAAATCAGCCCCCTTTTCTTAAATAATTCCATTTTAGATTTATTTACCTAATAATTCCCTCTCAATTATAATTAAAACTTTCTTAAACAATCCCTCCCCCCTTAATTCCTCCTCCTTTTCCCTAAATAATTTCCTCTTAGATTTTGAATTCAAATTAGATCTCTTACTTAAATAATTCCCTCATAATTGTAATTTAAACATTCCTTAAATAATTCTTCTTTGATTAAGAACATTCCTAAACAACCCCCTCTTGATTAGGAAATTTATTGATTCCCTCCCAATCAAATCGGCTGGTCCATCAGAACTCTCATAGAACCCCAATTAATCCCATCTTACTTTCTCCAATCCTCCTTTATCCAATCCTCTCTCTCTAAATCACATCTTTCTTTTGTCTTTTCTATGAAACATGAAGCATGATTCAAATGGGGGTATAACAAGCCATGAAAAGTAGTATTGAGATATGTCAGTATATGGTAAAAGAAATACGTACATAATACGCATTTATATGTATCAATTATTCTAACTATTGATCCAAACAACCTAGAACCCTAGGAAGAGATTCGACCAACATATTAAGCTGGCAATTCATTGTTTTGGGAAACAAGGGTTGATCTAGATTCTTATTTGGAGGCAAGAAACTATTGTTTCATTTAACATATATAATGAACTAGGTAATTATAAAATGAGGTAGGAGAAATCTCTCTCTTTTATAAGATTCCTTTCTTTAGTCTCTCTTTTACGTAATTGCAAAAGGAACTATTTGTCCCGTAGTATTCATGTGAGATTCCCTTTATAAGAGGGGACATCATTTACAAAAGATGGAAAAATCTATTTCAAGAATTTAGGGGTTCAATCTTGAATCCTTGATTTAGTTACAATAAAGTGGCGCCTATTTTGACAGTTGATCCCAAGATGCATCTGAGCTTCTCAGCAACAACCCATTTGGGAAGGCAAGAGGACTTCATGGATTTTGATGGAGAAGTTTTCCTAAGAACTTTGTGATGAGGACATCGAAGATCAACGACTACGATCGTGTCTATTTATTTTGATGTATTTGATTTGTTATTTGTACTTTTCCCTTTCTACCCTCACTTGAGGGCTTTGTCTTATGTTTGCCCTAGGGGCAATTGTGTTTTTTTATTTTCCTTCATGTATTTGGCTATTTAAGCCTTCCCCTTCCTCTTGGAAAGGGCTGATGATTATTGTTAATGAAAATTTTGGTTTTGGATCTCTTTGTGAGTTCTAGAGTTCTCTTTGTGAGTTCTCAAGTGAGGAAAGCCTAGGAGAGGCTCCAAGCAATACCCAATAGCCCCTTGGTGGAGCTCTCGGTCTTCTATCCCATATCTTTTCTTCTCCTCTACTGTTTCCCCCACCCACCCGCCGGCACACTTGGCCCCAAAGCCACCGGCCACCTCCACTCACCGCCGGCCTCCAGCCGCTGGCCTTCCCCTTTGCCACCACCCGCCCGCAATAACCCCTCCTCCATCCCCTCCATTTTCCCTCATTGCATTTGCTTAGTTTCCTAATTTGGAGAGGTCACTTGGAGGGAGTTTCAAATCCAAAATTCAAATTTGCATTAGGAGTTAAATGCCCCCTCAATTTCCTCCCGTCATTAAGGAATTAATTGCAGCTTTAAAACTGAAATTTAAATTCATATTTAGGGATTAATTCACTTAATTAATTGGGGCCCACCTATTTGAAATGAAACCCCTCTCCCTCCCTCTCCTAGGCCGGCCCCCTCTTCCTCTTTCCTTTGCCTAATTAAGAGTCAATTAATGCTCCTAATTACTTCCCTCATTCACTCAAAAGCTCTTTGGAAATAATTCCAAAACCTGAGACTTTTCCCTTTGGCCGAAATTCCCCTCAAGGCCCCACTACCGTAAATTCCTTCCAAATTCTGTTTCTTTTATTTCTGGAAGTAAATCCTGGATTCCTCTCTTACCCGACCTCCCTCTCAATTCCCCTTGCTCCTAAGCCTAGAATCCTGAGATTTCTCTCAGATTTTGGCTCTGTCCTGCACCGTTGGAAGGCTGAATTTGCTGTCCATAATTCCTGTAGGCAGTTTTTCTCTGTTGTCCTCAGATTTCAACATACAGCTTGCTGTCCCCTTATGCCAGCAAAGATATCCTGCTGTCCAGCACTTTGGAAGACCACCGACATATATATGGGCTACCCAACGGACTACACTTTGGCACCATTTGTCTTTGGGTAAACTCTTCCCCGACTCTTTTCTCTTCGAAGTGCTTTTCAATTGTGGTCTAGTAAATTCATGACGATCATGTTAATGCTTCTCCGCTAAAGCCTAGTAATTAGAAAAGTTGTGTGAAGGATCTTCTTGTAGCGACTAATCTCACTGTTAGTTTAGGGATTCATCGTTGAAAGCCAATCATGTACGCGTCGTTAGATTAAATTGAATGTTTTACGATCTTAACTCCTTTGTATGTGATTTAGCCTAAGCTCGCTTTACCGCTCTTAATGTTTTATCTCGTCGTTCAAATCATTATAAATATATAATTATTTGTTCTTTCTAAAAATTAAGCGTGCAAATTCATCAAGTATATCATCTTTGGATGATCGTTTCACATCACTTTGACTCCTCTTGGCCCTCCACAGATTCTTCATCATTAATATATAACATTTAAACCTATATGAAATACAATGGTACATTCTTTTTCTCATTTCTTATATAATATTAAAATATACATAACAATTGTATACTACATATCATTATAATATTTAGTATACACATTTAGCATCCTTATGTATTTCATACATTTTTCTTTTTCATTTATTCATTTATGTTGATATTTGTTTCTTTTTCTTTCAATTTGTATAGGAGCACCGTCAAAATGTATCAATAAAGGTACAATCATTTTCATTTCCATTTGACGTGCATGGTTACGTTGCTTCCCCAGTCAGTACCATACGGGGTGAACTCTTTTATCACTTCTTGGCAACCCAAACCCTTCAGAAAATTTCTAGCCCATTTTGCACTACATCCTCTTGACAAGTATCCTATTCACCTGATTAGCTACATGTATGCATGGACATACAAATATTAACGCTAGTGGCATAGGCAGGACCCAAAATTAAAAGGACAACCATCCAAACAGCACTTGGAATCTAGCAGCCAAGTATATTGGAGGTTTTTTTTAGGATTGGGACTCGTAGAATATAAATGTAGACAAGTATCCTATTCACCTGATTAGCTACATGTATGCATGGACATACAAATATTAACGCTAGTGGCATAGGCAGGACCCAAAATTAAAGGGACAACCATCCAAACAGCACTTGGAATCTAGCAGCCAAGTATATTGGAGGTTTTTTTTAGGATTGGGACTCGTAGAATATAAATGTAGATATTGTTGTCTACAATGCATGGAAAGTTTCTTAGCAAAATGCAAGAGTAAGATTACATGCATCAACCCCTCTTAGGGCCCTTCTTCAATGGGAGCTTTATGCACTAGATACACCTATGTTTTTAGTAATTGGCACATAAAATTGGGCAGCAAGAGAGTTCAGAATTGTGGATGACAAAAATTTTGTGCTGCGAAAGCCTTGATTAGAAATTCATTTAGTTCAAGTTGTAGAATAGTGGTTGTTACTGAATTAAGTGGGATAATATGCTCCAAAAAATGTAAGTTTATTCACAATCATTATGTTTTAGTTAAATGAATGAAAACCTCTTGTTCTTGGTGTTCTGATGGAAAGCAGTGCTTTATATGCAATGTTTCAGCAATTCGAAGTTGGCATAGTCCATGAGGAGGGCTTATGCTCAATTTTTAATCCAAAATGAATTTCTTGGTCGGGGACAATTGCAAAATGGAAAAAAAAGGAAAAATAGAAGATGCGATTATGTATTTCAACCACAAAATACATTTTCTTGCTACAAACATGAATACTCTTATACAATTTTAGAACTCGAGGATGGGAGAGGGACATGTATTTTTTGCATGTTTAGCCAATCTGTTTTAAATATTAATTTGTTTGAACAAATTGGATGATAGCTTTAATCATATCAACCCTTAATTGATTTCAAGTTCGAGTAGCATCAGATTAAATCTGAGCCATTTGGCATGCATATATGCAAGTTAAGCCTTTTGATATGCCAATATTTTTGTTATGGTGCAATTTTTAAAAATATTTTTTTTAGATTCAACTTTTGAGGTTTCATGTATTTACTTTTACTTCCAATGCTTCTCTATCCTTTTCTTTTTTCACTCAAATGGTCTTAGTCTTGTAAATTGCATTCTATATTGTCCATTTTAGTAATTCCCATCTTTGATTTTAGTAGAGACATAATTAGTCCTGATGCTAGTTTGTCCTTCTCACTATATATTTATCATATGCGTCTTCCTGTTATATAGTCTATATTTAGTTGGATTATTAAAGTTCTGTATTTGATATTTCTTGATAATAGATCTTTACGCTATTTGAATCCTTAATGATGTGTTTGAAACTTCCAATGTCGAGATGCTTATGAAGGCTTCGTTTGGGACGGCTTTTTTATTGATTCTTGAAATGGAGTTTTAGTTTAAAATTTTTAGTTTTGTCTAAAAGCCCATTTCAAGACGCAATAAAAATGTTGTCCCAAACGAAGCCGAAGCATCAGGACAATTTCTTGCAAAACTGATGCTTTTATTGCTTATGCCATTGAACTGGCTATCCAGGTGTGGGAACTCACAGCAAATAACATTATTATGGTTTCGGCTATTGGAAATGATGGCCCTTTATATGGAACACTTAATAATCCGGCTGACCAGAGTGATGTTATTGGAGTTGGTGGCATTGATTACAGCGATCACATTGCCTCTTTCTCATCACGTGGCATGAGTACATGGGAAATCCCACATGGGTAGATAAGCTGCACAATTACCATTTTTGTATTGAATTGTTTACTGTAATCCTTTTATACTAAAATTTCTGCTCTAATTTCACACTTAGGCTTCGTTTGAGACAACTTTCTTATTGCTTTTCAAAACAGCTTTCTTGTTAAAAATTTTCTTGAATAAAAGTTTTATGTACAAGAAAATTTTTTTAGAAATCAATGAAAAAACTGTCCCAAACGAAGCCTTAAAAGGCATTCAGAACTTGCAAAGTATTTTCTAGATTTAAACATCTTTTAGAGAAATGCAATTACATTGGTAATGAAGCTTGTTTTTTCCAGAATGAATATGCTTCTTCCTCTCACTTAAAAATTCTGTCTTTTTTCTGTAACTTAAGTTTTAGCTTTCATTAATTTGCAACTCAAGGGATCCTTTTACACCATCAAAGTCCCTATATTCATTTTCTTGGCATGTGAACTAGTTTTGAGTGTTTGGAAGTGAACAAATAACTGCTGCCTTCCCTGAATTAGATGATGATAGGCAATATTGTACAGTCTTTCGTTTTTTTTTTCAAGGATTAGATTAGTGAACATAAGGAACCTTCCATGCTATTATGTAAATGTAACAGATATGAACATTTTTTATCAGATATGGTCGTGTAAAACCAGATGTTGTTGCTTATGGCCGAGACATAATGGGTTCTAAAATTACAACTGGCTGCAAGAGCTTATCTGGCACAAGTGTTGCAAGTCCAGTGGTTGCGGGTGCTGTGTGCTTGCTTGTAAGCGTTATTCCCGAAAATGCACGTAAAGACCTTCTAAATCCTGCTAGCATGAAGCAAGCTCTAGTAGAGGCTGCTACCAAACTTTCAGGTCCCAATATTTATGAACAAGGTGCCGGAAAACTTAACCTGTAAGTCTTTAATTTCTACTTTTGCATGCCCCTCCAACCCCCGCACCCATTTTTACTAAAATCTATATTACACAATTGCAATATATCTTCCCAGGTTGGGCTCATATGAAATCTTAAAAGAGTACAAGCCGCGAGCCACCCTCTTCCCCAGTGTACTTGACTATGAAGATTGCCCCTACATGTGGCCCTTCTGCCGTCAGCCTCTTTATGTAGGTGCCATGCCTGTTATCTTCAATGCCACCATTCTCAATGGCATGGGTGTGATTGGCTTTGTGGAGTCGCCACCAACATGGCACCCCTTTGATGATGTCAGCAATCTACTTAGTATTCGATTCACATATTCAGATGTTATTTGGCCTTGGACTGGGTTTTTAGCATTGCACATGCAAATTAAGGAAGAGGGTTCACAGTTTTCAGGTTTCATTGAGGGCAATGTGATTGTCAAGGTATACAGTCCTCCTCATCGTGGTGAGAAAGATCGAAGGATCAGTACGTGCTCACTTCGCTTGAAATTAAGAGTGGCTCCAACACCTCCGAGATCCAGAAGAGTTCTCTGGGACCAGTATCACAATATAAAATATCCACCTGGATATATACCAAGAGATTCTCTAGATGTTCGCAATGATATTCTTGATTGGCATGGTGATCACCTTCACACAAACTTCCACATCATGTTCAACATGCTCAGAGATAATGGATACTTTGTGGAAATACTTGGCTCACCTTTCACTTGCTTTGATGCTAGCCATTATGGAACTTTGTTAATGGTGGATCTTGAAGATGAGTATTTCAGAGAAGAAATTGAGAAACTAAGAGACGATATTGTTGATGGTGGGCTTGGTCTTGCTGTATTTTCTGAGTGGTACAACGTAGACTCAATGGTGAAGATGAGGTTTTTTGATGATAATACCCGAAGTTGGTGGACTCCAGTTACTGGTGGTGCAAATATACCAGCCCTTAATGAGCTTTTGGCCCCACTTGGGATTGCCTTTGGTGACAAAATCTTAAATGGAGATTTTTCTATCAATGGCGAGCAAAGCCATTATGCATCAGGAACCGACATTGTCAAATTTCCCGGAGGTGGATATGTTCATAGTTTTGAATTACAGGACAATTCAGAAACTCGTGGAAAACAGAATTCTGGGATGACCAAGGTTACGTGCTTCTTGCCTTTTTATTGTTCCTGCTAAAAAATAATAAAAAACACACTGGTGCTCAGAATTTATGACCGACTGAAGGAATTTTTACAACTATAATACTAATTGCTATTTTCTTAGCTTTACATTTGGATGTCCATGATAGGAAATACTTGAGTTCGCAAGTAAACCAAGAGGAAATACTTGAGTTCGCAAGCAACCCTAGCAATAATTGATCAAAATAGCAGAAATAACGCAAAATTTGGGTGAAAACAACCTAAAAAAGATAGATTGTAATAGTGGAATCAAAACAAAACAAACACCAAAGCAAGATACAATGGATCCTCAATTCGAGAGGAGGATCATTCTCTCTCAATCTCTAGACGAGACGCCAAGAAACTCCAAGAGAATAACTCAAAATGTGCATCCCTGGCCCTAACCTCCTCCCTTCTTTTAATACATATCTTCTTAATAAAAACTAATAATATATTGCCTAAAATAAACATTAATTCAAATAGTTTCCTAAGCCCTTCTCTCTCTCTCCTTGCCCCCTTGAGGGGCCCACATGCTTGGGTGGCAAATAAAGGAAGCGGTTTAGCCCGCCTCCTGTAGGTCTGAACTGGCCCCTCCTGGGCCGGTTTGGGCGGTTCTGGCCGAACCGTAACAGTCCACTAATGTCCGATTCATATTAAGTGTTCAAAAACCAGCATTAAAATTTTCTATGTTTCTGTGATCTGACTATATATCAAGGCCATGAATATTCTCCATCACTCTTTTCTTGATATCTCTTTTATGTGCAGGAGTCCTCAATCCTTGGGCTTGCAGAAATTGGTGCAGGGCGAGTTGTGGTGTATGGAGATTCAAGTTGTCTTGATAGCAGTCACATGGTAGCCAATTGTTATTGGCTTCTTGATAAGATAATAGATTTTACCAACAGGAATGTCAAAGATTCTGTTCTTTTCTCAGATTCCTCTAGAATTAGTTTTCCCATGCATGAAAATGAAAGCAGGTTGCCCTCTCGAAGAACTGATGTGAATTTCTCTATATATTCTAAAGTAGTTGGCCGAGAGTTGATGTGCTACCAAGACTCTAGATTTGAGGTTTGGGGAACAAAAGGATATGGTGTTCAGCTGATGGGTAGGAACAGAAAGTTACCAGGATATCCAACTCTGACATTAGATGGAGACTTCAATATTACAAAGAAAAGAACTGAATCAAATAAATATCAAGCTAGCAAATCAGAGGAAAACTCTTCTGGGTCAATTGTGCGGAACAGCTTTAGCAAGAGCATAGACTTCTTTGGTTTGTTGAACCATGAGGAGGTAAACCTACTTCATCTCATAGTAATTTTGAATCTTTTTTTTTATTATTATTAGTAATTTTGAATCTTGAATATCTTGCATGCCAGTAAGCTAAAAGAATGGCACATGGCTCATGTTCTGGCAAAATTATTAGGTGCGTATTATACGTATAGCTCTACTTGCACAAAGTAGGAGTACACAGTTGTGTCTCTCATCTGATGGGATTGCACAGCTGTGTACCCTTGAAAATACTAGTGCATGATTATATACTCCTATTTTACGCATCTTGAGCAACATACATAATCTGCACCTGATAATTTTTTCAAGTGTTGTGCAACAACCTGCTTTAATGCACAGCTCTGGCTTCGGCACTTGTTTGTGAGAAGGCAAGAAGCGTTTCTGTTTCCCTTCCAGATGTAACAAGGAAAAATAGCAGCACCAAAGTGTCTTCCGCAATACCTTGAAATGGTCTCTCGCTATACTGATAGGAAATACTTGAGTTCGCAAGTAACCCTAATGGGAAATACTTGAGTTCGCAAGCAAACCTAACAATAATCGGTAAAACAGCGAGAAAAACCGAAGAAAATATGTGGAAGAACAATCAAACGATAGATAATTTTATAGCAAGCAAAGCGAAACAAGAACAAAGCAAAGATACAATTGATCCTCAATTCGAGAGGAGGATCGTTCTCTCCCAATCTCTAGACAAGAAGCCTAGAGTCCAAGACGCCAAAGAGACTCCAAGAGAAATCCAAATTTTTGCATGCCCTAACCTAGCCTCTCCTCGTACTTAAATAAAATCTTCCTAATAAAAAACCTCCTATAATAAACCAATTTCAAAAACTCTGCATAAGCCGCCCCTTTCTCTCTCTCTCCTATTTGCCGCCTCAGGGAGGGGGGGGGGTTCAGCTTCTGGCCGAACCAATTAAGAAAGTGGCCTTAGCCTGCCTCCTGTAGAATTGGACCGTCCCACAAGGGACCGGTCTTGTTAGTTCTGTAACATATACCTGCATGTATAGTCTGCAACAAGCTTTTTACAGAAAAAATCTGTTTATTGGGGAAAGAACCTGTTTCATGCATATAGATGACCTAGGAATAGTTGACTATAGGAAAAATCTTTGTGGCAGCAATTTATCCCTATTATTTGCAGGAACTGGGCATTAGAGCTTAGGCAATAGTCCTTTTTAGATGCGGATAGGATAAAGTAACAGAGCGAAAGCAAATATTTACCACTAATGTAGGGGAAAAGGCTATTTATTCTCTAGGGTTTGTTCTACTGGGTTATGCCTACAGGACAGGATATGTGTGGACGAATCCCACACTTGTTTGGCCAAGTGTGTTGCATTTGCAATTTTTCTTTATCATGCAGGGCCGGAACATACCTTCTCTACCACTGACCATCAGTTGAATTTTTATCTAAATGAAGACTTAGCATCAGTGAGATTTCATTATGCTTCCTGACACTCTGATTTGCACATTTCAAAGACACAAATCAAATACAGACCAGTTTATGAGACTATTTAGAATTACCCTCTAACTTTCTCACTTTCAAAAGACTTTAGCTGATTTACATATGACTCTGAATAATTGATTGCTTTTTCTGTTCAATCAATGATATTCATTTTGTAGATTTATGCTGGAAATAGCTGATAGCCCATACCCCCTATGCCTGCAGGTTGATATTCCAATGTTGGTCGCAACGCAGTGGATGATTCCAGCTTTGGTTGCAATGACCTGTGAGTAGAAAACTTGAATCTCCACATTTTGCTCTTCAAATCTCCATTTTTGTCCAGCACACAAGACACTGATCTATCTAAACTTCTTAGGCCTTGCGGCATACTTGAGTTGGCGAATGCGACAAAAGCGGCGACGTCGAAGAAAGGGATCTACATCTGGCCGGTCGTCAAATTTAGTTTAGTTCTTCAATATGTTGAAGAATGACATATATCTTGCAGTGATGGACCGCATGTCAAGGTTGATTTAACAGAGGAATTTTCTTAACTGCAACTGGTCTTGTTAGAGGTTTCAACTGCAAGGTAAACGCAATCATGATTTGAGCTTTTCTGTGAAGATAGGAATGTTTTTGCAATGTTTGTTGTATTATGTTACCATTAGCAGAGCTAGGGAGCTGCAATTTTGTAAACAAAAGAGCTGCTTTTCTGTTTATGAATTGTTTATAGGAATATAGAAAAGTGTTGGTTTAATGAAGATGTTAATTTGTGTACTTCTGATATTGGATTTTAAAAGAAATTTGAACTTTTGTCTATCATCTTCCAAGTTCTAATTAGTTTAATCTTGAGTGCATCGAAATTAATGTTTAATATTCCTAGTCTCTGACCAGGGCTCAAATTTTAAAGATAAAATTTGTTTATAGCACTCAATTTATAAATAACGGTCAAATCATTATAAATCTAAAGCTGTTAGGCTGGCTTTTATTTTACTTTTATTTGCAAAGAAAAATATTTGAGTATATATATAAAGAAAAAAAAAGAGGAAATGAACAAAATGGTCTTTTAATTTTTTATGGAGGATTAAAATAATTTTTAATTATATTAAAGGATCAATTTGATCTCTCTTTTAGAGTTAAGGGATTAAATTAATTTTGATCTTCCATAAAAAGTTAATAAATCATTTTGATTTTTTTGTCGGGAGAAAAAAATATATCTTATATGCCTTATTTAACGTTGAAGTATTTTTCCCTTCTAAAACCACTAAGAAATTGAGGACATCTTTTATCATTAGAGTTGTGATGATATAGCTCTAAAACCTACTCCATAGGAGGAGAAATTATTCTATACGAAGATCAGACGTAAAATACCGTTTGAAAATCAACCAGAATGTATAATGTCAGTGGTTTGAGTAACAGTATCGAGCGAAAGAGTGACATGACATATTTTGACGTCAGCATAAAATAATTTTTCCCGTACGAGTCAGCATAAAAAATAAAATTTTGAAACAATTACGAAGGCATTAGCCTGTACTAAAGTATTAATGATCATGCTGATAAAATTATTATTGTATTAATAAAAAAAAATATATATTAATTGTCATTAGAATCATGTTAATAAATTTGATAGCATTCCAATGATGATTGTTTAACAGCTTTAAATTTATTTTAAAATTTTTTAGAGGACTTAGATTTTGTTTGGAGCAATATTTCTATTATTTCTTTTAAAAGTCCTTCACTCAACCACATTTTCAAAGTATTTTTTTTTTAATAAAAAGTAAAAAAAATCTCTCTTTTATGTAATTTATTTTTTACAAATTATTTTTCTTATCATGAAAACAGTCTAAAAATTATTTCAAACAAACCCTTAGCTACATTATTTTTCTAATTAGATTAATATTTCATAGGCACTTAATGTAACAAATCTAACTATTTATAAATGACTAATCCCTAAAAAATTGAACATAAGATAATTCATTAATAACTTTTAACTCAATAAATCTAAATTTATTAGAACAAAACACAACAGAAGATCAATAAACATTTGGTACCTCTTTGAATTTCTAGCTAAGAACAAGATAAAATTATTAAGGAAAAAAAATAGCCAAACCCACAAGAATAAACAAAGAATATAATCTCCCATTAATAGCTGAAAGAAGATTATTGCACAGATTTTATAAAGTAATCCAAGTACAAATGAACTTGTCAACAAAAGGATTGTGAAAACAGGATGGAGAGAGAACCACAAACATGACAAGTTACAGAAGAAGAATTTCAATTTGCAGAACAAATATTGGTAGTAAACTGCAGCTTTTTCAAGACCATCTTAGCATTCACAGCCTGTTGATGAGCGTTGTTGCCTGTTGCCGCCTGCTACATCAATGGTATCTGGCAGATATCTATGGAACCAGCAGAACCATTTCAAAGAAGCAAAGGCAACAAGTTAGTTGTCTTATGACCAAATAACCATTTCATTGATTTAGGCTTTGTTTGGGACGGCTTTTTTATTGCTTCCTAAAGTAGCTTTCTAGTACAAAAATTTTAGCTGCTTTAAGAAGCAGTAAAAAAACCGTCCCAAACAAAACCTTAATTATTTATAGAAAGTAAAGTCACAATAACTCACATTTCTTCTTCAGGTTCATTCTTGAGAGCATTCTTTGCTATGCATTGAAAAGCAGCCTCCACATTGAATCCCTCCTTAGCAGATGTCTCAAAGTAGGGAATGTTACCCTTTGAAGCACACCAAGCTTTTGCTTTTTTCTCAGAAACCTGTAAATGGTGAAACGTTTGTCCAGCAGAAGTTTCGAAACCAAAAGCTATATTGAGGAATTCGATGCCTATAGTATTATGGAAAATGATCTTAATTACCACGCGACTATTGCCACCATCAATGTCTATTTTGTTTCCCAGCACTACAAATGGAAAGTTTTCTGGGTCTGATGGGCTAGCCTGCACAGGATGAAAGAGAAGATTAAGTATCAAAATTTGGACATTTAAGTGCTGGAGAGCTGAAGTTCCTTATTACCTGGATCAGAAATTCCTCACGCCAATTGTTCAGGTTATCAAATGACTTTGCAACATTAACATCATAAACAAGAACACAGCAATCTGCACCACGATAGAAAGCCACTCCAAGGCTCTGAAATCTTTCCTGACCAGCTGTGTCCCATATCTGGAGCAAAGAATTGGGGCAATCTCAGTAGAATATAAAGAGAATGGACTGTCATGAAATCTAATGTCGAATGAAGGAGAACAATGAATCAAGAGAAGCATGATTTCATACTCAACAACCAGTTCAGAAAATCATGGATTTTGTTTTCATTTCTTTTGAGCGTGAAAATGAAATGAAAACAAGGGTTCCTTTTTACTTCAATGCACAAAACAAAGCAGCATTTTTATGAACTAGAGCATTAATGACTTATATAACATATATACCTATATTATGTGCATATAAAAATTATTTAATTAACAAAACTTAAATCATTAAGGTAATAATTTTCAACAAACATAATGATAGTTTAAATGACAGTAATTTACAGTTATCTAAAAGACCAAAAAATGATTAAAAACAAATAATAAAGTGATGTAAGAATACTTAAAAATCAATAATATTCATGAAATTAAGCAACCAACTAGAGATCAAAAGGTGAAGGCAGCCTGAAGCAAGTGGGTGCAAAAATGAGGCAAAAAGAATGTGAGCAAGAAGTTGCTAGTGCAAACAATGAGAAAAAGCGAGAATTAAATGAGAAAACTAGCATGTGAGAGAATGTAACGAAACGAAACACCAAGAAGGGAATAGTTCCAATAATAGAGAATAAAGAACCAATGAGCAATGACTAAATGATTATGAGAAACAATGAAGAAGAGAAGGTTCATGCCTAGTAATTATAACAGATACATGAATCAATTCTAATTCAGAGCTGAGCACACAACGCTACAATTTGATGTGGCAAAGCTGTGTGATGGTGCATGCTTTGTTGCAATCTTTCACTTCATAAGCGTGCAATGCAACAACGCGACATGGTGAATCAGCACGATACAGGCACCTTGATATAAGATTATACTTTACTACAAGCAAGGAATTCTATGGTCGTTCACTCCTAAGGCTCGTTTTTAATAACATCGTTGTGAGCTTGGCCAATTGATCACGACAAAAATCGGTATCCAAAGCCGCTTGCAAGAGCATAGTTGTCCATGCATTGGATCACCAAAGGAACTTCGCTTGCAAGGCCCATACCATCATACATATGGTAATTCAGCACCACCTCACCATTCATCATGATAAGCAATAAGCACTCGACAAGTCAAGCCCAACAGTAGGTCGTGAGGTATGGTATGAGGCCCTTCTGACTCTTTTTGATACATAACACAACGAAAGAGAGTCTATTGCATACACAATTATATCTTTAAAAACTCATCTAGCTTAATCATTTTGTAAACACCATCTAAAAGTTGTGCAAAGGTGTGATGGGGTAAAAAACTCTTAATCTACTGCTATGATGCACCGATACACCTATTTATGAAGGCATGCTATATCGAATACGTGTCGGACACGGATACGCGCCCGATACGGCTCGAATACATGACTGATATTTCAAAAATGTATCTCATTAAAATAATATATAAATTGAAAAGGATATGCATATCAAGCACGCATATCCTATTAAATCATTAAACACACACACACTATATATATATATATATATATATATATATATATATGTATGTTACATAAAGAAACAGCCCACCCATATTCGGTATTCATTTCCATGAGCAGGGCTAGGGCTTTTGATTTTTCCTTCACATCTCTTCGTTTGTCGCAGCAGCCGACGCTAGGGAAGGCCGAACAAGCGGGCTTCTTCGACCGTCTGCTTCATCTTCGTCGTTAGCAGGAGCAACGGACACCAAGAAAGTTGTGAGCATCATGCAAGGAGCAAGATGAAAAAGCGAACATACACGAGTAGGCGAGGAGGGTGAACATACATGAGCAAGCCGAAGGAGCGAGCGTCATTATTTGAAGGTTCACTTTCGAGCCTTCTACATTTTCTCAGGCCGAAGGAGCATCCATCTGTGTGTTTTATTTCATGCGTTTTGAATGTCCATACTCCTATGTACAGTTGTCAAACAAGAGGAGGGCTACAATTTAGGGTTCAGCTATCGTGAGGGTAACGACAAGCAAAAGGTAAACACCGTCCGTACTCCGCGCAATTTTTTAGAGTTTTAGCATTTTATTGATTGGATTTCTTATTACTTATTAGTTTCTTTGAAACTATTTCATCATTTTATTTTCATTTTGGCTTTGATTTTTTGTTGTGTTTTCTACATTTATTGTGTGTTTAATGGAGAAGGAATACATGTTTTTTACTTACAAAATTTCACTTCCACTTGCATCTAGCTAAGGGTTTATATGTATAAAGCTCATAATTCTTGCAAAAATAAATCACATATTTAGACATCCTTGAAACAATGATACAAGGATGCTAATTTTGGAAGCATATTTATTGAAGATGATATATAAGTCCAAAGACAAATCCCTGAAGAAGCTAATCATACCATTCCTTCCATTAAATAGTTGAAACTTCATGCACTAGATAGTCTATGTTTATGTTTTTGATGTAGTAATAAACATTTTATGCTTACTTTTCTTTTGATATTATAAGCTACAACACTAAATATGATGTTTCTTTAATATTCTTTTGTCATTTTAAATATTATGCTATAATTGTTTTCTTAATTTTAATATATACTTTATAAATTATAATGTCATGTCCACGTCGTACCCGTATCTTTTACTTTTAATAATTGACATATCCCGTATTCGTATCATATCATATCGAATATGTGTCGCCGTATCCGTATCGATGCAACATAGATCTACTGTCAATATAACATTTAGATGAGTTAATATACATAATCTTAAATAGAATAAGATGCATACAACCTCCTTGAGCAAGTTAAAGACAAATAAGAGTTTCTCCTTTAGTAGAAAATCATACATGTTTCCAAAAGATAATAACCATCCTAAACTCAATCCCCAAAATAGCACAAACCACAGTATTTTTGATAGATCTACCTTGTTACAATATATTCTTGTGATATGCATAAACTCCAAGTGAGACAACAAATGTGTATTTTACCACACATGTATCTTTAATGTAAATAAGGGTCCCTATAATCAAAACATCTCACACATTTCCATGGGATTTATGATCTTCACATCAAATTTACGGGCCTAGATTAATCATCCTTAACTCAAACACCTAAAATAGGACACACTTCACTATTCTTAGTAGGCCTAGCTTTTAAAAGTGGATTGCCATGACAAAGATAAAAATGTATAAACTCCAAAGTCTAATCTTACTTCATAAATACACAACAAATGGTTATACCACCATATAAGTATGTTCAATGAAGCTCAACTACTATTTGTGCAAAAATTAATGTTAAAGAGCATATAAATATGCTTGCAAGAGATAGGTTTTAACAAGGCAAAAGTGTGGGTGTATGCTTGCGTATGTGCACATGTATATGTGCCTGTGTGTGTGCATGTGCATAAGTGTTTCAAATGAATAAAGAATCTAATAAAAGTTTCTATATATGTCTAATGGCATCATGATTGATAGTACTATCCCAACTATTTATGATTGATTTAATTAATCCTGATTTTCTAGTAATCATCACTGAGTATTAATTGAGGAGTTGATAATATTCTTTGTGCATCATTTTGAACTACGCCCATATTAGGTTTACCCTTCTCATTCCAAATTCTCAACACTAAATTTATTTAAGCATCTAATGGGATGCATTTTCTACCTTCTACATACATGTCCAAATCACCAAATCAATTTCAATTACCTTATCTTCAATATATCACTCAAACTATTCTTTTAATATAATTATTCATAAATTTATAGTTCATAGCTCTGTCATTCATCCATCTTAACTTTCTCATTTCTTCCATAATTAACTTAGCTATCAACGAAATTTTTCCATCTAGTTGTTGGATCCATACAATATCACAAGCGTAATTTTTTTTTTGTCTGATTGTTGGATCCATGAAAAATATTCATTAATTTAATTGATACTATTCAAGCACTTCTCCATTATAACCATATAATATTCTCATTTCTCTCTTAATTAATCTATATAATTGATCTAAAATACTTAAACCCATCACACCTTAGTATGTCTTTATCTTCTAATAATATTAACAAATAATTGTTAATATCACACATAGAAATTGCACAGCATATGCAAAGTATTTGCCCTACTAATTCTAGCCTTTTATCTTTAAAAAATTTTCTCTTTTGTTCTAATTTGCAATTATTTTTAACACATCTAATTCTTATCACTTGCCTTAGATATTCTATTCATCTTTTCTCCTTCCATAATATTAAGTCATTTATATAAATTGTTAAAAGTTATAGTATTTGCATAGCTAGCTATACGCTTTGTAAGGCATCTAGCTTATTTAAAATCATTGTAAGCCTCAATAACATTTAATTGTTGTCAATTTCTAAAAGCACATTTTTTAATATTTAAAATTTTGATGACAACATGTGACAAAAATAATAAACAAAAGAAGCAACTTAATTGTGAAAAAACATCACTTGAATCATATGGCTATTTCATTTTAATTACACAATGAACCTTTCAGGCTATTAACACTAGCATAATCTGTGACAAAGATAACCATCTTATCATTTTAATTACCAATTATTTGATGTCAACTTTATAAATCATTCCCAATGCAATCATATTAAGTGCAAGTTTTAGCACATCCTATTAAAAATAAAGAAGTTATGAAAAACTAAATAGTCAACAACAGTCGTTGTCATGTAAATGACCTAATTGGGCCACTTAAACCACAATAACTAAAAATGAAGGCCATAAGGGTATGCTTAGTTTTAAGGAATTGGAAGTCATACAAATTCATTTTAATTAACAAATCCATATTAAATGTTTCGTTCAGATATTTGTAATAGTAAATGAATTCGCCAAAGAAATGTTAACAAATGCATTTCACATTATCAATCCTTTGCCCAACCTTAGCAAACAAATGATAGAACATTTTATTAGAACAAAAACTAAACTTCTCATCAATCAAACAAGAAATAAAAAGGTAATTATTAAACTCTCCCGGAACCAAAGTGAGGAAAAACAAACTTCATACTCATTAGCATTTCCTTTTATTTAATTTCTTATAATTCCTCCAAACCAAATAAAGCCTAAGAGAAACGTTTAATTAACTCCAACGATAGTAAAAGCTTTTATATATAAAAACCCAATCAACAATAACATCGTCTAAGAGTATTTTAAAGGTTCTATATCTGCCAACAAATAACATCATCCAACAAGGTGCACGCTGAATAGAACCAAAACAAAACATGTATCATAACTAAGCAGTATTAACAGTATAAGAAGCAATTCAAAGCTTCAAGAAACGGAATTGTCAAAGCAGAAGCAACCTAATCCTCAAACAGAAATCAAACTTCTTAAGATAACAAAAACAATACAAAAAGGAATCCAAATCAGCCTTAACGGCTAATGAAAGACTCACCTGTAATGTAAAGAGCCTGTCCTCAAACTGGATCTCCTTGGTTAAAAAATCCGCCCCAATTGTTGCTTTATACTGATTACTAAACTTTTTACTGACATATCTACACGGAACCAATCAAGGCAAAAACTTTCTTAATCATTATTATTTAAAAAGAGCATTGTTTTCCCAAAAAATTGAAAGTATGTCAGCAATCCAAAAAAAATTCAAGGTTACTGGTTCATCAAAGACGTCTTCCCGACCCTGCCAAAGATTCAGAAACAGAATAATTAGAAAGAGCGGATAAAATAAAAAAAAATTACGTCTTTAGGGAAACCCAAAGGGGCCGAGGCTCTCACCCGCTGTCGCCAAGGATGATGACTTTGAGAAGCATACGCCTACGGGACGCCATGGCTAGGATTCAATTGTCTGGTCAGAAGGGGCCGCTTGAACACCTAGGGTTCGCTTCCCCTCCTCGAGAGAAATTCCTATATTACGAAGTCTGCAGAGAGGCAAGCGAATGGAGAACCAAGAAATTGTCTTGCGAATACACGGGTTGGGCGGGACGGCTTAGCGGAATGCCCCCTGTTTTTGTAAAATTTACGAAAATGGTATCAGCTCACGATATTGACTATGGAGCCGTGTTAGATCTGTCAAAAATAGTTTGACCTATTATAATTTTAATATATATATAATCTATTTTGGCCTAATTTAGACTTTGTTTATGATGATTTCCTTATTACTTTTTAATTTTAATTTATGTACTGAAAAGCTTCTTTAAAAATATGAAAGTCGTCCCAAACGAAACTTTAATTTAATTTTTGGGTTGTGAATAAAAAGAAATTGTAAAGTTTTTTAAATACAGGAGTTTTAAGAATTTTAATATTTAGTTTTGATGAAAAAAAATATAAAATAAAATTTTAACGAATTCCAAAGTCACTTCATATATCATTTGTTAATGTATTAAATTCGTTATTGAACGAATTTCAAATACAACACAAGCTGTTCCACTCTCATGACCTTGCTGCAAATGTAAGTCATCTTTCACTACTTTCGGCTATCGGTTACCGCTATCATTGGGCTTTATACTATATTTATTTTATCGTAAATTAATTTGAAATGAACCTCCCTAACTTTTAATTAAGTAGAAAATCAATCTTTTTTAGAATAATATGTTTATATTCTAGTCATATTTATAACCCTATTTCATTTATCTTACGGGTTTTTTTTTTTTTTGGGGGGACAATTTAACCTTTTATTTAGTGTTTACTTTTAAAAGCTCATTTCTGAGCCACAATTTTAAAATTGGTTTTACAAAAATAGATCATTGCCACCGAGTACTATTGTCGATCAATGACCACACTCATAATTGAGCTTTACACTGCATTTATTTTACTAAAAAAAATTATTGTATTTATTTTATGTTCATCAAAACAACAAATGTTTTGAATAAATATCATTTATTTTATTCTGCATTCATTTTTAAGCAAAACAAACACATTTAAACTTGATTCAATTTATTGTAATTTGTGTTTAGCCTCATTGATTTCTATCTTGAGTAGAAAATCAATCTTCTTTAGAACAATTTGTTTATATTGAAGTCAAATTTATAATCCTACTTTATTTTTCTTAAAGGAAATCAATCTTCTTTAGAACAATTTGTTTGTTTAAATGATCTTCCTTTACTTGGGTTTGTTGCACTCGTTTTGGATGATTCACTTGGGTTGGTTCTTTTGGATATTTTCTGCTATGCTGCTGCACTAAATCATTCAATTCCGATGGCATGTGTATTAGTTTCTGCACTTTGGGTATTAAGTTCCGTTTGAGATGGATTTCGTATCGTTTAAAATTTTAATTTTTTAATAGAAAACTGCTATAAGAAATAATAAGAAAGCCGTCCAAACAAAGTCTCTTCAAAACATAATTATGTTCCTTTGTTAGCAATTATTTCTTCTTGCTTGTTCTCTAGTATCATCTTTTGTTACAGCTTTCACTTCACTATCTCATTTTTGAGAGAAATTATTCTGTGAGGATATCAGACGGTCCGGAGGTCAATCAGAACGTGTCATGTCATCCGGTACACAGCGGTACGCAGCACCAGTACCGAGAAAAAAATTGACACGGCGCATTCTAATTAACCTCCAGATGACGTCTAGCATCCGCACATAATATTTTTTTCATTTTTGAGGTAATTTTCTTCTGCACTTGCTGAAATTAATCACTTCTAGCAACGAAATTGGGCTTTGGCCCGAAAATTATCCTTTTAAAAAACACACAATTACTGCAAATCATCCGAATATTTAAATCTGCAACACTACAGAAAGTTCATTGGATTTAGGGAAATGGCAAACCCAATTGCAGCACAGTGCAGGAATCTGCAACACAGAGCAAAGTACTGAACACCATTAAACACCAACTGTTTGTATATATATATAAATTTTGCCACAAAGGAACATATCAAAACTGAAACTAGATCAAAGGACCTGAAGCAAACAGGCCCTGACAAGAATATTAAAGAATTGACAATCATCTATTAGTTTTCTCTACAGACACATTCATTGGAAGAAATCAAACAATTCTCAAACTTAAAATTTTTAAAAAAAAATTATTATGTTCAATGAGATAAAAGACCCAAAGAAAAGAGAAAAAAAAATCCTGCAATTTACAATTAACAATGCAGGAAAAAGGTTAATTGTGGTTACTGAAAACCTTGGCTCTTCTTCACATTACCCATTTCTTTGCCTTCGCTGCTGGAAGTTGATGGAATCTGACCATACTCGCTTGTTGGTGCACTGTACACGCTGCTTTCATAGCCCTGGCTTGCAAATGCCATTTTTCTGAATTTTTTCATATCTTCATTGTATTGCATTGCATCATAATCTGAGCTAACATGAGAGCCATAGACACTGCTATGCCCAGGTTTAACTCCTTCATTCAGATCCTCAAGAGATGCATCTCCTTCCAGGGCCCGAACAATCTACAGACGGTTTCATATGGAGTTAGCAGAGATTTCTAAGCTCAGGGTGGCTAAATTTAAAATGTTAAAAGGGGATACTTAATGAAGGATAACAGTACCTGACTCATCCGCGGCCTTCGCCTTGCGGAATGGCGAACGCAGGCAGCAGCACAAGCAATCATTCGTCTCATCTCGATCGGGTTGTATGTTTGGCCCAGATTAGGATCAGTGAGGGCATCCAAGTTGCCATCATCAAGAGCTCGTGTAAGTAAAGGTCTTGCCTGGGGTAACAAGAATATGAATTTGAATGATTTCAACCATCAAATCACATTGATGAAAGCAAATGTAGCAAAATTATTCAATCTATGGGTCTTAATTTACACTGCAAAAAGAAGAATGGCTTCTACTTTATGCAGCAAGTGAACCATATAAGGATAATAAGTAATCAAGTTGGTAGTTAATATACATCTAACATACCCAATCAACCAAACTGTCATCCATGAAAGACTGGCTTGAATCAACAGGGCGGCGGCCAGTGATTAGCTCAAGAAGCATGACTCCAAAAGAGAAAACATCTGATTTATCTGTCAATTTGCCAGAAGATGCATACTCGGGGGCCAGATACCTGAGAAAAAGGATAATTAAGTAACAGAGATAAGATAAACATTACTATCTCACCAGAGTAATCTTGGGATTTAAAGCTCTTGGTAGCCAGATTGAAAAAAAGTCTTACCCAAAAGTTCCCATGACTCTGGTAGAGACATGGGTGTTGGTCTCCGATGCAATTTTTGCAAGGCCAAAATCTGCAACCTGCAAAAAAACACCAGCTACTAAGCTAAGAGAAGCAGTATCTTCACAAAGTTAAGAGAATGCCAAGCAGCCAAAAGATTTTTTTCATGGATGTTTCTTCATCATCATTTTCCTTATCCCAACTATTTGGAGTAGCTATGAATCCTTATACTTCAAACTACCACCAGTTTGTAAGCCAAGAGAATCAGGAGAAAAGAGAGGGGCAAGTTATAAAAGGAAGAAAGAAGACAACAAATTTTGAATATCCTATATGCGTCAAACTTTTTTATTTTTGTTTCATTTTTATATGTTATGGTTACCTTTGCGTCAAACTTGAAATCAAGAAGGATGTTGGATGCCTTAATGTCACGATGAATAATCTTAGGATGACCTGCAAAATTAACAGCACTATAAGAACATGGTAGAATTGACTAATAGCCATAATTAGGAAAGCTAAAGCAGTGTAGAACAACAAGTAATTGATGGATGAAGCCTAGAAACTCACAGTCTTCATGCAAATATGCAAGTCCTTTTGCAGAGCCTAGAGCAATTTTCAATCTTGTTGGCCATTCCAAAGTTGGTCGGTCCTTACCTGCAAAGAATAATATTAAAAAAAGCTTAAAATAAAGCAGAAAGTGCATAATTGATCTTAGAGTAGTCAACAAGCCTCATTTACAGCAAGACACAGAAATGAAGCTCACAAGTCTCATGACCATCAAATTTTATAAACAACAAGTCTCATGATCTGATCTAGAAGATAGACATTACCAATTAAGTCAATTCATCACAAAGAAAAAGGCCATTCCACTAATACTGGTATCAGTTTTTAATAGTTAATGGATCTGTTTAGATTGGGGTTATGTATCGGTTAGGTTATTTTAATTTGGCTTAAGATAATGGTGCAAATATGTTATACTATTTGTGTTAGTCTACGATAAATAAATAAATTCTTAGTTGGTAAGAATATTACATAGGGGTTAATGCTGAGTTTCATGTATTAGGAAGATAACTCAAGTTTCAATTTATCGTTATACGAACGCAAAGAGAGGGGCAAGTTATTTTAAGCTGGATTAAAACAATGAACCGGAATAAATAAAAAAAACAAGATTGACTTGAGCAAAAAACCTATTTGAAGGATAAAGTGTGAAGTTGACCCCCAGAATAACCCTGAAACAAACAAGCCCCATATGATGATATGAACTTCTTGTAAGTTCAACATAAAAAAGTTCAAAATCGTCAAAAACATTTGAAAAAATTGAGCGTATTCATCTCTGTTAGTGACAAACTTGATCGACTTTATGAGGCCAGCTTTATGCATTCTTCCTAACTATGGATTCATTTTAAGAGCTATATTTCTTGATTCTTGTATATGTAAATTCTTTTAAGTAACTTACGAGCGATCCATTACTTAATCAAATAGATAATCTTCAATAATTTACTTCTTAGCCTACTAATATTACTAAGAAAACCAATAAATTTATCACACGTTACTGCATTTTCTGGAACTAAACTTCTATAATGAGGTGCAGAGGCTTACATGCAAAGAAGAAGAAAAAAAAAAGTATAGAGGTCAAATTCTGTTCTTACCATGCAAATGGAACTCCAGTGTATTGTTTGGAACGAATTCATAAACAAGAAGTCTCTTTCCATCAGCAATGCAATATCCAACCAACGAAACCAAATGTCTGTGATGAACACGGCTGATGATTTCAACCTCTGCCTGGAACTCACGCTCGCCTTGCCCACTACCAATCTTCAGTTGTTTAACAGCAACTTCTTTGCCATTTGGAAGCATTCCTCGATGAACATATCCAAAACCACCTTGCCCTAGAAGATTAGCATCAGAGAAACCATCCGTTGCCATTGCCAATTCTTCATATGTAAATGTGCTCTTTGAGAAACCAAGACCAAGGCCTGGTGATGGTTGAAGTGGTAGATTTTCAGAGCCAGAATAACTCGATCCAGAAGCCCCACTACTGCTCGTAAACGGTGGTGTAGGAGGAAGGCCTCCGACATGGGCGGTTGGATGTAGAGGGCGTGGAGGGAATGGTGGCACTGGTGGATTTGGAGGCATTTTCATAACATAATCAGCTGGTGGAGGAGCATTTTGATAATTTTGCAGCCCATAAGGTTGATCTGATTATACGATGAATTAGAACTTCAGCTTTATTATAAAACCAAAAAACAGTTGCAGAATAGAATTTGAATCATGAAGTCTTTTATATAATAAATAGCCTGGTAAAATTAATAACAATAGTTTGGATCCTAAAAGTTAAATCCTGATTTACAAAGTACAAAAAACCAACTAAATAAATAAATGCCCATCTATTATCATCTTCTTCATAATAGCTTTATCTCAGCCATAATGTTCTCCCAGTTATGCATGCCATACTTAGCTGGTCATGACAAAAATGATTCAGATACAAATTCTTTCAATATTTCAGTAGTTTTTTGCTCTGTTTGGTTGCAGGAATTGAAATAGAGGAAATAAAATTGTACAGTAAACGGAATAGTAAATGATTAGGATTGAAAGTAGTACACACCCACTTGTTTAGTTGAAGAGAATTTGATTTTTTTTTTTTTTATTGTTTGGTTGATGAGAAATTGAGTTTTCATTTCTTGTGATGAGGATATGAGATCATAGAAAATGAAATTGAAAGTAAAATGCATTTGCATTTCCTCCAATTCCTTCAAACCTAAGATACCTTAAATGAAAAGGAAATGGAAATAGTAAAAAAATTGAATTGACAAGTCTAAAAATAAAAATACAAATGTCCATCTATTGTCATCATCAATAGCCTTATCCCAGGTCCCAGCCAAACATACCATATTTAGGTAGTTGGAAACAAAATGATCCAGATACAAATTTTTTCAATGTTTCCGCAGTGTTGGGTCTCTTTGATTTGAATGAATTGAAAGCAAGTAACCCTGAAGGAAATGTAAGAGAGAAAATGGAAAGGAAATGAATTGAACTTAGTTTTCACCCACTTATTTGGTTGGAAAGAAATTGAGCTTTATTATTATTATTATTATTATTTTGTTTGTTTGGTTGATGAGAAATTAAGTATTTGTTCCTTGTTGGGAAAGGAAATGTGAGCCCCATTAATGAAACAATACATTTTTCTTTCTATTGGAGCCAAACACTACTATAAAATTGTGAAGTAAATACGTTTGCCTTCACTCAAATTCCATCAAATCAAACAATCCCTAAATGGAAAGGAAACGATGATAAATTTAAAAAAAAGAACTGAATTAGTTTTAAGCACTATCTGTTGATGCTCACTAATAACGCCCATCACCGCCTTCCGCCACCCCTGACCAATTCCCGCCTCCTCCCCTTGCCTATACCAATCACCGCTTATACTATCAGCCACCACCACTATCGCAACCCCATCGAATTTCAATGCATTTGAAATATATCATACAAACAGAAACACATTTCAATGCATTTTATTTGCATACAACTAAACAACATATATTTCAAAAAAAAAAAAAAACCATTCTAATTACTATACATTTCTAAAATACAAGCATTAAAAAAAACCAAACAGCTCCTAAGTAAAATCAATTTCCTATGAACAACACAAAACCGATAAATCTTGATGTAGTTATGACATAAACAAATTTTCCTTTATGACTAATTCCTTCAAATCAAACAAAGCCTTTGCGACTCCATTAGTTAATGGCATTTTGTCAATCATAAGAGATGCTTCTTAATTAAACATAATGGTTTGGTTTATTTGCTTCATTACAAATTAGAAAAAAAATGTCAAAATAAAAGAATTGCATAAATTGAACGTAGGCAACTCAGATTTGAACGGGTAGAAAGAATTGTCAATCAGATAATAAAGAAAAAGTCAATTCATGATGCAATGATGGGGAAATTCAATTTATCAACCCGATAGCTTAAGCACGCAGATAGACGCAAAAAGGAAAATTAAGAGCCCTCTGCTACACGACTCATGCCCTAAGCTGCCAATGACATCCATCAGATCCACAATTTAAAAAAGACGACAGAAATCTGAGTGGAGAAGATAAGAGACGTCACCTTTCACTGGTGGTGGAGGCGGCGGAGCACCATAGTGCTGGTACGCTGGCGGAATAGGCTGCGGGCGACGCTTCTTTCTAAAGCAGCAGACACAAACAATACCCAAAACCAGCAGAATCAGCACTCCACCCACAGCCAGCCCTACCACAAGCCCCGTTGAATTCGAACTCGACGATGAGGACTGTGAAGAAGGCGGCGAGGGAGACGAACCATGCGAACTCGGCGGGCTATTTGAAGATGACGATCCCCCTGGTGGAGCTGGGCTCGACGGAGAGGGCTTTCCTGGAGGCGCGGGAGATGGTGGATTGGTGACCGGAGGAGGAGGAGGAGAAGAGCTCGGCGGGGTCGCAGCTGCCGGAGGCGGCGGAGAAGAAGAGCTAGGCGGGGTCGCGGCAGCCGGAGGCGGAGGAGAAGAAGATCTAGGAGGGATCGCGGCGGTCGGAGGCGGAGGAGAAGAGGAGCTAGGCGGGGTTGCGGCAGCCGGGGGCGGAGGAGAGGAGACCGGCTGAGGAGGGGAAGCGGTAGCGTTTGAGGGTGGAGGGGCAGTGGAAGACGCCGGCGGGGTGGCGGAGGTCGGTGGCGGAGGTGAAGGTGGCGAAGGTGAGGTTGGTGAGGGGGCGGTGGTTGGAGAGGGAGAGGCGGACATCGCCGCGGCGATCAAAATAATCCGTTCAGCCGCTGTACTGATCTCCCTTCCGCTCTCCCTCAACGTTTCTCTCTCTCTCTATCTCTACCCGTCGATTTTTCTCGCGATAAAAGTTCTATAGACGTAAGGAAAGGTTCGGTGGACCGGAGAGGATGGGCCCACACGGTCTAGCCGCTGGCTCTGACCTGACAAAGATGGGAATGTTAGTAAAAGGAAGCTTCTGGACTTCTGGTCAGACCATCCTTCTATAAATTAGGAGAAAAAAAATCGCGTATCATTTCATATCTCTATGAAATTTTTATTTTTTGGAAATAAATATTTATGGGGCTCTTTGGCAACGGGATTTAGGCGGAATTTGGGCAGGATTTATGCTAAATCCATAGAACTTATGACAAAATAAATTTTTCATTTGATTCTTTTTATGATAAATTTTGGATTTTGTAAATTTTACAGTTCGGCTAATTTAACATTCCAGAGCCTCAAGAAGGGCGAATTATTACGTCCGGTGACCGGACGTCCGGACATCCAATCCAGATGCGCCACGTCACCCAAATACACTGGGCCCCAGTATATTTGGGTGACATGGCGCGTCTGGATTGGTGTCCTAATTCGGACGTAATAACTTGCCTTGCAGAAGAGTGGGAGAGCGAAAAAAGAAATTGACTTTGAGGTCATATTATCTACTGCGTCTTAAATCCTCATTATATTGTCCAATAGCTCTACAGTCCAGTAGCTCCACAATATTTAATAGGATTTAATATTTATATTTTCAACTAGTTTTCAGGATTTAAATTTAGCAGGATTTATTAAATCTAGATTTACATAATTTATTAAATCCTATTCAAATTAAATCCTACTTGTTGTCAAACAGCCCTTATGAATTTCATTATCATGTAACTTGAATATATTATTATTTTTTAAAAAATTGATTTATTGTAATATATAATTTTTTTAATATTTAATTTATTGTAAAAGAAATTTATTTTTTTAGTTTTTATCAAAGCATGTGTGATTTTTATTTCATATTTGATAATAAATTTTAATATATTCATCAATTAAGCATTGAGATACTCAGATACATATAAAAATATTCAAAATAAATATGATAATTTCTCTTATATGAAATAATATAGTATTTGCTAGAAAAATGATACTTTAGAATACAACAACTACTACTACATGAATATATTTTCTCTATTCTGCCTATTAAGAGTTAAATTCTCAATGCCTAATTAAAAGATAAATATATTTAGAAAAACATATATAATATTACCACTTATCTAATGGTCAAGCATTGAAGCACTTCAATCATACTTATCCACTTATCCTAAATTTGTAGTGGAGTCTTTTAAGTAAAATCTCCACCATCAATTAGGTTCTTCAACTTCAACGTGAAAGGTGTAAGGATCTTTGTTTGGCCACTGCACATCATGGCCCTCTTTTTAGAGGAAAACGGTCAAAATATTCTTTGGAAGAAAGCTAAGGCTCCAATAAAGGAATTTTTATTTGGTCCGGTAATCTGACGTAGCTCTATATTCGGTACGCGGTAAGCTAAGGCTCCAATAAACAGCCGACACGTGTTCTCACTATTTACTGCGCGGCCCAACAACTAGTCCCGGAACAGAACCGGGAGTTTGCCTATTGCTCGGTATTGCTAGGTATTGGTCGATTTTGCTCGACAAAAACGAAAAATACCATTCTATGAAGACCAATATCTAGCAATATCGAGCAATACCAAGTTCTTATTAGGTATTACTCGGTATTGCTCGGTATTGGTCTTCATAGAGCGGTATTTCTCAATATTGCCAAGCAATACCTAGCAATACTGAGTAATACCTAGCAATACCGAGCAAATACCGAGCAATACGCGAATATAGTAATCCCGGATTCCGGTTCGAGTCGGTTCGTCGGGTCGCGCGGTAAAGAATAAGAGCACGTTGCAACATATTATTGGCTACCGGACGTAGAGCTACATCAGGTCACCTGACCTAATAAATTTTCCCAATAAAGACAAACAGGCTGCACTTAATTAATGGTGTCATATTGTATATTTGATGGAAGAAAAAAAGTATTTCATTTTAAGAAAAAGAAATTAAGCAGCCCTAATATTTGAACCCTCTCCTTTGCAATAAGATTCTAATTTGATTAAAATGATAAATCATTTCCAAGCGATATAAAAATTTTGATGACTCATAATAGTCAATAGAAAACCCTTAAAATTTAGACTCTTTCCTTTGTTGCAAGATCTATATTGAGTAACAAGAATGGTGTCACATTCTAAGATCTAATTGAAAGAATTTATCTTACTTAAATAATTTTATCAATAAACAACATTCAGAGCCAATTGAAATCTTATTGATATAATAAACATAACATATATAGCATTATTTTCGTTCATCAAAATAGTCATATATAACAATCCAGTATAGTTTTCTTTCCATAATATTTCATTCACATATTCGACTAGATTTTCAAAAAGAATGAATCTATGGCAAAAGACATGCATGCAATCTGAGCTTAACCATATTAAATTCTATATGTACTTCATTTGAACTTAGGTATATATGTAAGCTAGCATAACATGAAATAGGCACCACTTTTCAAATACTTTTTTATCTCCCCACATATTCGCCAGCACATGAATATGATATGTTCATGGCATCACATAGACATAATAACTTTCACATTTTTCACATGTATAAATCACGTTTAATATGACATCTAAATACATGAACTTGACAATTTTAACGTTTTCAACTTGTACGAGTCACATTTCGTCATATATTTGAATACGTGAACTTCATCATTTGGATATGGAAGTATCAGCATTTTAACATATATAAGCTACATTTAACTTAATATATGAAAACATGAAATTAGCACATATACGACTATTTCAATAATATACATAGGGTAACTCTTATTTATTTGATATGTACTAACTCTTATTTCAATATTAAAATAAGATTGAATAAGATAGATTGATAAAGTGTGAAAATTTATCATAAGCATAATCAGTACCGTTTGATATGTACTAATTCTCATGCATATTACATAACCAATGTTGAATATGCATTTTCTAGATAAATGTCAATTTTTAGTATTTCTTTCATAAAGTTGAAATCTTGTCCTCTTTCATCTACAAATACATTTACATATGTTATAAATGTCATTTTTTTATAGACATAAAAATTAATTTTATTTTCACATTAAATTTAAAACCTATAAATGCACTAACGTATACATTGAAGTAGAATTATAAGTAATTTCATTTCAAATTGAACTAAGATAATCCAACTTGCTCTTGAATTTACTTGAATATCAAGGAGAAATGAAGAGAAAAAAATATTAACAATACATTGAAGATTGCCATCAATATCACTACCATCCAGCATATTGCTAGGTGTGATGTTGCAAAAGACACAATCATCATATATGTTGTTCTGTCAAAGGGAGAAGGAAGATGGCGCCAATCTTGAAGTTGACAATTTAAAGATCTAATAATGATTGTCGAATACTTAATGACCTAATAATGATCGAGACTATAGTAATAAATATAACCAATGCTGATAATACTTGAATATATTGTTATTTGGATTATTTAGCGACTTCATCAAGCATGCCATATGATACTTCAACTATACTTTTAGCCAATGCATTTGGAGGGTCAAGTCAACCTTAGCACTTTTAGAATTGACTTTTTTAACAACCCAAGAGGCCGCTTGTATCAATGTTCCCTCATTAAATACTTCGGGGTGGAGAACTCTTGTACAAAATTTTATAAAATGTTTTATCTTTATAATCATGCTAGGCCCTACCAGTATTCCCTTCTAGAAGCTTTCATTAAGAAAATATTATTACTCATTTTACAGTCTACTTAATTGTAAGTGTACATAAGATTGAAAAAGCCTTAAGACAATCATTACTCTCCCAGTTTTATTTCTTACATACCATAAGAGTATAGATGATAATAGAAATTCTAGAGTTAAACAGTGAGACATTAAAAAAATGTATTTGGATTATTTTATGATCATAGGATATTATAGAAGCTTGTGACAACATTTTTTTTTTAAATTAAAATTAGAATTGTTATAACATATATATTTCAAAATTAACAAATAACATCTAAATATTTTTCATATATTTTCTCTCATAAAATATGTGTTTTGCATATTACACCAAGAGGGATACAACTATGCACCACCCAATATATGATAGGCATATCACATCAAAATTAAATCATTTAAGTGATTTTAGGGAAAAATTTTAATTTCCTAATAAAATAAATGGGATCTATTATTTGCTTATTAAATAAAGAGGGACACAATCATGCACCACACTAAACACATAATATATGCAAATGAACAAGATATTTCAATATTGAAGAAAGAAATTAATGACATTAAAAAGATAAATTTCTATATATAATAATAGCACTCTCTTCTTTCTATTTTAGTTTTTTTTCTCTCGACATCAAATCAAAATCTCTTTGAATTTTTTTTATTTTAATTCATTGAACTGTTTGATTTGGAAGAGTTGGCCAAATTATTTTCTGGTTGACTTCAAAGAGAGATAGTTTAAAGAGCCTCACATTACCATTATAATAATTACCTTTACTTTGAGCCAAGGTCAACCTTTTTTTTTCTTATAAATTTTCTTCTTCCTTAGAGATTCCTCAAGCTTTTCTATTGGGTAAATCAAGATCTATTTAGGACTACAGCAGTTGTTTATAAAGATGTTTGTAAATCAATTGTAGAGAAAATAGTTTTTTTTTTTTTAATTGTTGTATAAAGCAGATTCTTAGTACAAAAATTTATTAAAAACAATGAAAAAGTAGTGACCAAATAAAAAATGTGATTGTTGTCTGAAAAGCAAAACGATGATAAATCTATTCCAAACAAAACCGAAGGTTGCATTATTATAATCACTTTTTGTTTACAATATTTTATTTTTGAAATGAAATTTTGAATGTTATATAAAGAATTATTGCAAAGTAGTTTTTTAATTTCATGTTTAATTTTTGGTAAATAGAAAAATGTTTTTTAAAACTATAATTTTACATTGAGACTTGATACGGCATCACAAAATTAGCTTGATCGGGCACGAATCTCGAGGCG